TTTGATTTGTGTAACACAGGTGAGAGTCTTTGCCTTTGATACCCAAAATTATTCTTCAAAAAATATACTTGCAGGTAGAAATAAGTTTTAGAGTTTTGCCCCTTAAATTTCTTTGCTTCAAATATTTTACTGTTACTGGGGAAAAAAATTCCCTGAGGTTTTTTTCCATGCCTATAAATCTATTTAGAGAAATGGTTCTCACCTTGGCTTCACTTTGGAATCATTTGGGGAGTTTTGAAGTCTGCTGAAGCCAGGATCCCACGCCAGAATTCTGATTTAATTTGTCTGGGATGTGGCTTTGGCATAGGGAATTTTAACATTTCCTCAGTTGATCCTAATGTGCACCAAAGATTGAGAACTGCTGGTAAGGAACAAAATTTTTAAATATCCAAAGGCCAGAACTCTAAATATGGCATAATATTTTATAACACTATTGCTATTTTTGAAGGTTTTTTTCACATCAAAGTACATGCAACAAGCCTCATTAAACTGCTTAGAACATATTTTTCCATGCTAGTGGTAGATCACCTGGAATATTTGTTAAATGCATAACTTTTTTGAGCTCTATTTTAAAGATTTTGGTTTAGTATACCTGCACCTAAAAAATGTACCTAAGGATTCTCGTGCCTGTTTTTATCAATGAGGTACTGCTTCAGAGAGCTATCTAAAGGAGTTAAAGTAAGTTGAGATTTTCCCAAACAGCAGGCTCTTTGGTGGTATCTTAAATGCACAGAGAAAATAAACTTACCCTTGCTTTGCTAATTTTCCAGTAGTTTTTGGCAACAATAAGAACTTTAAAAAATTTTGAATTTTTTTACATCAGCAGATTGTCAGTTCTATAAAAATGTATAAAAATATTGAATCTAGTAACTAATTCTTTGGTCTAAAAAGATGTGAAATAATTCAAAATTAATGTTTAAAACATACCTAGAATATTTACAATTTATACTCAAAATCAGTCCTCATAACCTAGTGTTTTAAAAATTAGACAAAAATTGAAGGTATCCAGCTATTTTAGGTAAATTGAACAACATTCAGGGTAACAACATTCTCAGGCCTTAGGATAAGCATACATTTCAGTTCAGAGCTAAAAAACTCTCTAACTTCAACTTTAGTGTGAATTTGGAGAAAGAAAATGAATCACTCAAGGTGGAACTATATCAAAATGTCGAGTTAACACATTTGGTCTTGTCATAGTGCCCAGAGATCTCAAGACTGAGTGATCAAGACTGTGGATTACAAAAGCATTTTAAAGATACTGTCCTTCCCAGAATCCTGAGCTTTCCTTTCATCTGTCCTTAGCTTTTATTTTTCCTTAGCTTTAACCCAGACTAACCAAGACCTGACATGATCAAATTGCAATTAATATAAACAGCTGTGAAGAAACAGCTGCAGAGGAAAATGTTAACAGAGAAGCCTACAAATTCAAAAGAAAAATATTAAAGTTAGGACGAGTCATTTCTCCATCACAGTAAAGGATGCATTGGGTTTTCTATAAATGTGTTTTGGCTTTGGAAGCTGAATAATTGATGTCATATCTGAGACCATCAGTAGACCATGACTGCTATTGTTTGCTTTTCTAGAAAACTTTTCCTTTTTCCCTAGTATTTACTGCACAGCACACTTTTCAAGACTCCCCTGCACAATTCCTGGCCACAGGGTGGCTTTGTGACCCAGGGTAGTCTGCCCACCTCACCCACTCACACAGTCGGACTCTCAGCCCTTGGTATTACCCCAGGCTTTCAGAGTCTGTCTTAGCATCTGTCTTAGTTACTTTTTACTCGTTGCTGAGACAAAATACCTGAAGTGCAAGTTGGGAAAGGAAAGCTTTATTTCTTACATTTTTGGAGGTTTTAGTCTACACTCAGTTGGCTCCAAGGCAGGCGGCCATGGCTGGGCCGCACTTCATGGTGGCTGCAAACAGCAAGCAGGAACCAGCAAAGAGCAAGACACACCTTCTTCCTGCCATTACATCACATCCTGGCTCCACCCCTATGTGGGTGGAGCCCTGACACCATCAACCCAAGCACTAGACAATGAACCAATCACAAATGCACAATGCAGACTCATGAGGCCTGGGGGACACAGACATAAACCATGACACTATTACAGTAAGAGACATACTCCCCTGAATCCCTCGAAGAACACTCCCCTTGGCTTTGAACACTGTCGCATGGTTTTTGCCACTTTGGGAAGCATCTGGAAGTCCTCTTTGGTGTCTTCTCACAACTGCCTCATCCTGAATTGATTCAAAAATGTTTACAGCAATTTTTGTTAAATAAAAACACAACTGAGTGCCCTCAGACCTTCCTGGCGGGATGTGGCACCATGCCACTTCAGGCTCCTCCTTGTCAAAATGACCACGGAAGGTAAAAGCTTCCAATCTGTTCAGGGCATCCAGGCAGCCACAATGGAAGACACCAGGGAAAGACTTTCTGAACTGCTTCAGAAAGGGGCGGGAACATGGGGCTAAGTTTGTTTAAAGACCAGAGGCTGCAGTTTCCACACTCTCCAAGTGTTTTGCTGGTGACATTCTGAATGACCTAAGCAGCTGTGTGATTACTAAGACACCAAAAGCTTAGGTCAAAATGCTTATTTTTTTCTAACATAGAAATTGTCAGTATTAAAGTAACTAGCCCTAAGCTCCCAATGGTAACCACGTTATATAGAACACATTTATGTAACGTGAAGTTGTAAAATCCCTGCTTGTCTTACTTGTAACGGTGACACCTCTGGTCCATGGACACCTTGCAGGCTAGCCTACTGGTTTGCATTCTTCTCCCTGTCACAGCTGTGTATGAACTTCACCCCCACTCTGGCGCTCCACAGAAGCCCGGCTCAGGGAAGTCACCTCTGCCTGAAGGCCACTGGGCGTGCTCAGGACTGTTCTAATGACCCTCAGGTTAGCAGTCTTAACAATGTCTACATGGTTTGGTTTGCCTTCTTGCACTCTGCCACCTCTTTTTGAGTAGCAATTTGTACTTTCATTAGAACACCTTACTTTTTAAAAATTAATTTTACCATTACATTTTAGACATGATGATCACATCATACGGAATCTGTGCCTATATGTGATGTACCTTGATTTCTTTTTTTCCGTTCCATTTTGTAAGAGGGGAAAAGGGGGGCCCTCTTACAAAAGCTTTGTTGTGTATCCCCGCTCCCTTTCCCACGTGAAAACTTCCTTCCTAGTTTACAATACCCATTGTCCATCCCTTATTTACCCTTTTGCCTTCTCACACCAGAGAAAGAATTCCTGTGTCCTTGACTGTTTCACTTAAGAGCACAGTCTCCAGGTCCATTCATTTACCATAAATGTCTCAAGCACACACTTCTTTATGGCATAGCACTCCTTATAAAGAACAAATCCCACATGTTATCCACTCATCTGGTGATGGGCATTTGGGTTGTTTCAAAGATTTAGCTATTACTAACTGTACTGTTGTAAACACGAGTGCACATATACCACTGTGGTATGATGCTTGTAATTCTTTTGGGAAGATAGCAAAAAGGGAAATAGCTAGATCAAATGGAACCTCTAGGTCTAGTTTGTGAGGAATCTCCACACTGATTAAAACAGTGGTTGCACCAGTCTACACGCCCACCAACAGTGAAGAGAGTTCCTTTTTCCCATAGCCCACCAGCCCTTTTTGATTTCTTGGTAATAGCCATTCTTTCTGGAGATGGGATCTCAGTGTTGTTCTAATTTGCATCTCTCAAACGACCAGTGATGTTGAACATTTTTTATCTTTATTTACCATTTCTACTTCTTTACCTGAAAAGTGCCTATTCATTTCAGATGCCTTGACAGGCATATTTGTACATGGTATAAAGTTCAAAAGTTACAGAAGGCCATACAGTGAAATGTCAGTGTCTTTTAAAGTTTGATATCACTCACTCGGTTCCCCACCCTAGAGGAAGCCAGTTACCAGTTTCTTGTGTGATCTTCGGGAGAAACTGTATTCACATACAAGAGAAGCCAAACAGTATTTTGACAGTTGCCTCAGGCTACAGAGAAGGCAGGACCCTGTGAGTGTCCAGAAAAGTGGAGCTCCCATCAGCAGACCTGCAAAGGACTCACTGCCCACTGGAAGCTCACCTGCCACAGAGAACAATCTGATTTACAACTCTTAAATGGGTCCTGTTTTCAAAACACCCTCACAATTATGTTGAGGACGTATCTGAAAAATGAAGGGATTGCTTCCTTGTTCTAAAGCAGGCCGCAGATAAGCACACAGATGTGATTTTATTTATTTATTTATTTACTTTTGGTACTGGGGATCGAACTCATGACCTTGCATTTGCCAAGCAGGTACTTACACCACTCAGCTAAACCCCCGGTCCACCGGTATGATTTTAATCTCTCCTGTCTTCAAATACTGTTTCTTTCCTTTTAGACACAAAGCATCTCACCACCAATGGCTGAAAAACTACATAATTACATAAAAGTAATTTTCATGGCAACATACAAGTTAACTATTTTCTTATTTTTAACTGGTTTGGTAATAAAACTAAATTTGTAATGTTGAACTGAAAAGGTAACTTACATCTTTAATTTTAATTTTACCACAAAAGGACTGTAGATTTTTTCATCTGTAAAAGATACATTTTCTTCTAAAAGGGTAACTGAAACAAGCAAAACCACTGATCAAATTTTAAAATTTATTTACAAAGCTTGATTTTGTTTTTAAAAAGCCATTACTCACTTTGTGAAGAAAATCAAATCGCAAACATTATCAAAATTTAATAAAATAATTTTTCATAGAATCAACAGCATTTACAAAAAAAGTTAAAACTTTAAAACTACAATGTAAAAATGGGAACTTTAGTTCTAGTGACTAAAATAAAAGCATATAAATAATGTTTTTCAAAAGGGAAAATACTTGAGGGAAAAAACAGTGATATAACATGCAAAGAACAGGAAATTTAAATATCAGTTTAGTTCCTCATTGCCAACATGGCATTTATATCCCAGATGAGATTTCGTAATTGATCCATAATTTGCTTCAGCTGTTGATTCTTCTGTTTGAGTTTCTGTGGAAATAAAAAGAATTTATCAAAAATGTTTCATAAATATGGAGCATGAAGTTAAAAGATTAAAATGTCCTAAGTGAGGACTCCAATGATCTAGATGAAAAGTGAACCACACATCCTGTAAAGCACCAGGTCTCCACGCTTTTCTAGCCTCAGACACTCCCTGACGGCCTCCTGAACTCTAAGTCAGCCCAGGAGCCTGAGGCACAAGGCCCCCGACTCTTCTACTTCCAGCACCGAGGGAAGAGCTAACACTTAACTGCTACAAAGCTGAAGAATCTGGATTTCCCAGGGGCAGAACTCAGAGGTCGGTCAGAGCACACACTGAGCCAGGTTCTGGGTGTTCAGAAGCTCAGCTGCCTCTGATTATGAACAGATGATGCTGGACAAATGCAGAAAAACGCAGGTAAGGAGCCAACCTCCCTGGGGTTCTCAGGGGGATGAAATTATCTGATTCATGTAGTGTTAGAACTGCTGGCACCTAAGGAAGTATCCAGCAAATGCTCATGGCAGACACAACATAAACTGTCAACCTGAAGGACGACGCACAATCCAACGCCCACCTCTGATGCAACTGGCCTTTCCAAACTGTGGGCGACGGCACCCTGCCCCCGCAGGAGGTACAGCCTGTGCTCACACTGAAACAGCGCAGGGCCGGATGCGAGAGCAACTTCACAGCCACGATCTGCTGCGCGCCTGCGTCGCGGGCACATGGTGTCTGTGCAGCTCCACTGCTGGGTTCCACTAGACTATGGGCTATAAAGTTTCTAAACACCCTTTCTTCAGGTCTTATGTGGCAAATATCTGTTTAAGTAAACTAAGATAAAAGTTGAGAGTTTCTAGTTAGACATTAGTGTTCAAAATCTTTTAGGAACATGAAATTTGGAGACACATATTTTATTAGGTTTTTTTAAGGATACTACATTAAACAACCTCCAGGTAAGCTAGCACACAGTCAATCAGAGATCTCATTTTCATTTTACTCAAAAGCAAACTACGATTCAGTTGTTCACATTTTAAGTACAGTTAGATACTGTTACATGAATATCCATTTTTACCAGCACAACTCAATACCTAAATCTTGTTAGCTGCCTATCTGTCCATCAATAGTTAGAAAAGCCAGGAAATAGATAACTAAAAGTAAAAGTGGAAAAGCAATTTACAGAGACTGATAATCTTTCACAATATTAACTGTTATTTTGAACTAGGGATTGAACCCAGCACCTCCATGCTAAGCTACGTCTCTAACTCAATTATTATTATCCTTAAGACAGGATCTTGCTAAGTCACTAAGTTAACTTGCTAAGTTGTCCAGGCTGGGCTTGAACTCATGATCTTTGTAAGCCAGATGCACAGAGTGCTGTGATTACTGTCACATGCTACCACACCTGGCTAAGGCTCACCTTAACACGGTCTCTGTGGAAACAGATTAACTATTTGTATTTTCAGTCATCCAGGCTCCCTGATGAGCTGCCAGGTGAGGCATCCCCTAAGGACTGTCAGGGCGACCATGCAGTAGACAGCAAAGCAGTTGTGCATGTTATGTAACACAATGACCTGACACTACTGGGACAGGTGAGGCATGGCCAAGCCTTTTTCACCCCAGAGACCAGAAATCAACACCTGTGCCACCGGGCAAGGGCGGCAGCAGCACGTACGAGCACTGGCAGGCTGGCAATCTCAGTTCGAGTTCTAACTTTGTCTCTAACTTGTCATTTGAACCTAGACAAAGCCTCCTGTTCTATTTTCTCTGCTATGAGATGGGACTGCGGCACTGAAGGTCCCTGCCAACTGTTTTTCCTACACTCACAGGTTAAGATGACAATCAGCGACCAAGATAAACAGTAAGTCTGGTTTAGTGAATTCATGGCTGCAAAACAAACGGCTCCAAGGTGGCCCTTCACCCTCAGCTGTGAAATCTTCAGCTACTACAACGCCTCTCTCATTTCCAACTTTTCAAGAGGAGCACTACAGAAAGAATGTGAACAGAAAATCTAATTTGAATTGGTGAATATGATCATTCTGCAAGTTTCAGACTTTCAAAGCAAGTAGGAGGAAGACAGCGCCTAGCTGGGTAGACTCTAACCAGGAAGGCAGATGGCGAGGGAAACAGCATATGCTGCAGAGCTCCCGGAGAGAAACATGCCTCTGACTGCAAAGGGCAGCCAAGCAGGAGAGGACGCGTGTGGGGCCCAGAAAAATGGGCGGACGCGAGGGAGGAAGGAGGACGCACCTGGCTTGGTGGTGAGTGGGTAACTGGGAGCCACTCAAAGTCCTGACGGTACAAGTGGTTACGGCACACAGAGCAGGTTAACCTTCTGGAGTGGACTCTACGGCACACCCCATGAAAAGAGGACGGAGGAGGTTTTCAGAAACAGCTGAAAACCACCGAAAGGCCAAGTCTAATGAATGAGGCTCAGCGACTGCATTTTTAGTAAAAATAAATGATATTCTTGGGTGGTTAAAGGCAGACTTTACAATCAGCATGGAAACAGGATTCTGATGGCCCCACAATGTTGCCATTACTGGGATAAATGGAAAGCCTACCAGTAAAACTGTTTGAGGGTACTCTGTGGGAATATAAACTTGATGTATTTGTGTTTTTCCTTCTTAAAGCCTCATTAATTCCAAAAAGATAAAGAGTATTTTTAGGGTAACAATGAAATCTAGCCAATAGACTTTTTAAAAAAAGTATCGTATAAGGTACATATGGACACTTTTTCTCAAAGACACCACAAAGTTTTAAATTACAAAATTAGCACAGGAGCAAAATATCTCGAGTCAAAACACATCACAAGACATCGACGGCAAAGCTGACAGTTATGCTTATTAGTGGCTAAATCGTAAATAAATTTTCATGACATGATATAGGATTTAATATATACACTCTTGCCCTGATTGATTTTAACAGAGGTTGACAGCTGCTATTTTCAAAATCCGTCAGCTGTGCCTAATTTGTTACATTAACAGGTGAACGTGTAAGCAGAGTAGATGCAGTACTTAGGAGATGTGTTTATGCTAAGTCATACTGTGTAATTTAATATTCATACAAAGGCCGTGACACCTGATCAAAAATGGTTTCTAAATGCATGGGCTTGATTATGCGTCAACCCTATAAATGTTACCCATACTTCTTTCAATTTCATTTCACTGTCAGTGGAATAGCTTTAATGTCCCTAAAGCATAGAGTCTGAAACAAGAATTCACCTTTTTAATTGGATATCAGGACTTAAGAATTCTAATATATGTGAAGAAAATACGGAAAGTATTTAAATAAACCAAAAAAGCTACTATACTAGGCCATTTTAATCATGGCTTACATCAAATGTTGACTATAAATTCTACACCTCAGTTTCATGGCACTGTGGTCAGCACATGTCACTAGGAACCAGATAGACTAATGTAATCAACGTGTCCCTATACTGGTTCCAAGACAGAGCCGCATGTGAAGGTGACCAATCGGGGATAAAGAGAATACATTATTTATTTTGTTCATTTAAAATAAAAAGAAATTGGCATTCTAAGAAGACTGGATAGTTCTAATTGAATGTGAAAAATATAATCTTATTACCTATTATATAGATCCATAAAGCACCTTGATATAAGCAAATGTCAATGCATGAAAAATATTATGCAGTGTTTTTGTTTCTGTAAAGATCCATCAATGCAGTCTGCTTTGTCCTTCCTTACTGAATACATGTTTAGGATTTTTACTTTCTACTTTTACGAAGATAACCCCGAGCCTTACTGTATCCCTTATAATTGGAATTTGTTTGCACTGGTTCATTTTTAAACAGCATTCTTGAAAACTTTCCCCCTGTGTGATGATCACTGGTAAGAGCTTTTCCTGTAGTCACGGTAAAATTGCTGTAACTAACAGATCATGATGGAGGGGGAAGTGATTGGAGACTGAATATGGAATCCTTCAAACATCCAGTGTGCTTGTGGGTTTTAGCTATTTTTTCATGAGTAAATTATACTACTTTTATTTATAAATGACTATATGCATATTTGTACCTCTTAATGTTTTATTTTGCCTTAACAAAAAAAAAAAAAAACCCCATCAGGCCACACCATGAGCACAGGAAGCCGAGACTGCCACGTTCCCCTTAGAGTCAGTCCCGTGTTCCCATTAAAGTCCCCTCTTCCTGTTAAGAGTCCCATGTTCCCATTAGAGCCCAGTGTTCCCCAGGAAGAAACCCGTGTGCTGGTCACACACCTGGAGGAACCAGACACACAGGGCTGCTTCACGGGAGGTCCCAGCACTCAGGACGATGCCCCGCACAGAGCAGGCGCCCCAAGACTTGAATATTAAGGGAAAGAAAGAAAGAATCCAATCTAAAGCCTTCTCTAAATCTAGAAGACAGCACACCGAAACCCGGTGGGGACTTCGGCCTGTGCCTGTCTCCGTATTCGCTGCTGCAGTTCGGACCAGAGGCCCGCAGAGGCCCGATGCTGAGAAATTGCCTGGCTCCCTGCGTGGGCACCGTCTGGAGGAGACTTGCAGGGGGTTCCCCCGGGGTTCAGGTCATGAAGGCAGGGCCTCCAGGGCCTCTGGAACGCCACACCCCGGGTCCCCTCCAACACATACTGCAAGGTGAGGGCAACACACTGCGCTGCCCTGGGTTCACTGCAACAGCGCCAAGGAGGCAGGGACCGAAGTCCCTGGACTGGGAGCCAAAACAAACCTTTTGGTATTTACTACAGTGACAGAAACTAACACACTGGTGAGATCCCATCACCTGTAAAACTCTCCTATCTACACACTGAAAAACCAGAAACAAAAATCGGCAACCCTTACTTGCATAATAAGAATGTCCACTAATTGATGATAATAGAAAAAAGACAAAAACTTCAGTCTGTGAATACAGATGTTTATAAACACTTGAAAATCAATCAATGAATCTTACCTTTTTAATAGCATTCTTGTGATTAAATAATTAAATTAGAACAGTTTATCATTCAAAATCAACAGTTCTCATGGGAACCCTCTCAAGCACATGTGCCATTAAGGAAAAAAAATATCATTGGATTATGAGTTCCTAGTTTTAAAAATATCACTTCAAATCCTGTATTCTAGAAGGAAGATACAGAATTTGAAGAAGCTGGAGTAAAATAATAAAGTGCAATACTAATGTTAACTATTCTGCTCACAGTCAAAATTTATGTTATACTCAATTCAGATAAAAAAAGAATAAAAAAAAATCCACTTTCTACTGAAAAATACCCATGTTGCTTGCTTTTAGGCGGTTGATTTTACTCTTTTTCCGTGTTTGAGCCTGAAATTTCAGTTTCTGCGGTCCTTCATGTCTGCTCACTGCCTACTTCTCCAGGGCTTTCTCAAAATAAATGGATGGGAATTTCCAGGAAGACAGACAGAGCTCTGAGGCCGAGGCAAGAACTTCCGGTGCCATTCAAGAGAAGCCACGTTTCCCTAACAGTTCTTTAAAAAAAATACCTTCCAGCAAAATCTGTGATCAAAATACACACGAGCCTTTTTTCCAAAGCCCTAATAAAAGTGGCAGAAGCACAAACAAGCTATAAACCCACAGCAGAGAAGTGATCAGAAGCAGAACCGCAGAGCAAAGGGCACATTTTCAGCTGAAGAGGACAGAGGTGAGCGACCCACAGGAGTAGACGGCAGCCCAAGGGCGCAGGCCAACAAAGCCTGAGCATGCAGCTGGCCCCCAGGGAGACCCGGACCGACAGAGGGAGCCTCCCACGGGCTCAGGGACTGTGACGACAACCCTGGAGGCCCAGCCCACAGGTGGCTGAGTCCCTGTGCCCCTGGCCCGCCTTCCTGGGGAACCGGAGTCCAGCTGCTCTGAAAGTGAAGGACAGCTGCAGACCGGCTGACGGGACGGCAGGGTCCCGGACTGACACGCACATCATCAACAGACCCAAAACACTTCTGAGTCTACAAATGGCTCACACTGAAGACCACCAACCCCATTTATTTTTTAAGATCTAAATTAAAATTCTCCATCTTTTGCTCATTCTTGACCAACTTGCAATCTTAGTCCTTTGTTATACTGGCTACTGATTTATTAACACATTTGCTGGAAATATTGACTGGAATCTTTATGTTATCTTTTCAAAAAAGTTACCAAATCTATCTACCTTTTTCCTTTCTGCTATGTTCTGAAATACATTTTTCTTTGAATTTTCCAATATTTTGTCTTGCAGGTCTTATTTTCCACTCTGAGATCCATTTTGACATATTGGTATAATATAAAAGTTGGTTTAATTTTCCACTAAATTTTCTATATTTTTAAAGCCTAATTTTCCATACGCTCCCTCTCCTGTCATATTAAATTCTCATATTGATGGGAAGGCTGTTTTATGAGCTGTAATTTTAATAATCGGTCTATACTTATACCCACAACACATGCTTAATTATTGCTTTTATAAATTCCTTGTATTACATTTTAAATTCTGAATTAAATTATTGTGCTTTATTACTCTTATTTATCAGAAGTTTCTCTAAAATCTTTGTACTTTCAAGGAAAAATAACCCATTTGGATTTTACTGGGGTTTGTTTTTTAATTGTTATTACACTAAAATCCTACTATTTTTGCACGCTTTTAAAAAAGTCCTATTTGGATTTGGACTGTTACTGTATTAAAATAACCAAGTGTACATTTTTATGTTTATTGCTCTCTCAAGAACTTTAGATGTTCTTTTAATTACTCAAAACTTATATATTTTAGTAAGGTTAGTCACAATATCACTAACATAATTCCTGTCTACTTAATATTTCTTGTTGCAACTGTGAACTTATTATGGTTTATAGCATTATACAAATGTTATCAATCTTGTGTTAAGCCCTTTTACAGAAGTCTTACAGAGTTTACTTTTTATCAAATGAGGTCCTCTGGGCATTTTAACAGGTCTGTAAACAGTATCCTAACTCCTGTTTCCGAACAGCATATTTATCTGTTTTCTTTTTTGAACTGGGTATGACTTCTAAAAAGTACGGCTACTTTTATTTTCAAATTTAAATACTAAAATACTACTGTATTTTATACCTGTTTTTAAATAGGAAAACCTGTATTTCATCTGTATAAAAATGTTAGCTATTTGAAATAAAAGTTAACAAAAACTCTTCTTGGTTGTTTTAAGTGTTCTCTGAATCAGTAACCAGTATTAAACTCTATCAGATGTCTTTCAGCCACCTGAGAACAAGATTTTCCCAAGGTAACTGGACATTCGGTACTATGTCTATAAATTCAATTGTCCTCATTCTAGCTCAGAAAACCCTCTTTAAGATGGGGTGCTACACTGTTAGTTCTGTTAAAGAGCATTAAGAGTGTCAGAAGAGGAACTTTGTATTTCCAAGTGAGAGTAAGTTGGTAGTTTTATTCATTATGCTATTTCTATTAGGGTTTGGTACACCCAGGCCATGTTTCCACCACAGAGTGAACTAACAGCTCTCTCTAATTTAGGGTCCTGAGAACTATCTGAACACTGTCTTTTGAAAATGTTCAGCAATAAATACATTCTAGTCAGGAACTTTTAGGGGAGGCTGGGGAGGATAACACTTTGCTAACTCCCTCAATTTCTTATTCAGGTGTTGAGACATTTAATTTCCTACTTGCAAAGTTTTATCATTTGCTCTTCCGAATATACTGCAAGCTAGGAAGGTAGACTCCGCGGAGCAGAGAGGCAGGCAGGTGACTGCGCGCCAGTGTGGCTCTTCCAAGGGCTTTACTCTGAGTTCTGGATCGCCCTTCCACTTTCCAGACGGAATTCTGCTTTTAGTTCTCAGCTGTATGCTCCATAGGCTGAGTTGGTCAAAAAGAACTTCATGTAATCTGTAAATCAAACGATGCTTCTGAGTCACACTAAACTCTGATTTCTGCCTGGAAATCCGAAACGGAAGACGCGGGGACTCACTTTATTTACTTCGGCGATTTCCCGTCTCTCGTCGCTAGCGAAGCGGGGCGGGCCGGCCCGGTCCTCGTTCTTGGAGCCGTCCTCCTCCACGTAGGGAATCAGTTGCTGGAGTGAAGAGCAAGAGATAAAAGTCAAAACCCGATCCAATGTTTTGACGGGGTGGGACAGAGCACGCATCGAACTAGGCTCAATTTCTATACTGCAGGGCAGCTTACAGATAAATTTTAGTTCAGGCACAGGTCAGAAACAGCAGACTTAGAAGCCTATCACTTCAGTGCTTTTATATAAACCATATATATCCTTACATATACCACATACATCCTTTACTGTTGGGGTCTGTTCCTAGGCCCCCAAACCCCTAAATGGGTGCACGGTGAAGGCTCAAAGGAATGAGACATACAGCATGGTCTTCAGGGCTGCAGAAGTGAGATCCTCAGCAGAGCTCATAACTCTGCTAGCAGCCGGCTGACAGATGCTAGGCAGCCGGTATTCAATCAGAACAAACAAGGAGTTGAGTGGACAATGGAGGAAACCTGAACAGGATCTTGGGAGGGGTTCAAGGACCCCTCAGAGCAACAGAGGATGCTAATTACAGAGAACTATCCAGAAAGTCTCTAGGTGGCCTCAGCCGTGGCCTATCTTGCCCTCTGAGGTGTCTCCTCCACCTCAGTTCAGTCATGCCCAGGCCACGCCACAGCCCTGCATGTGCATTCAACTTCAGTGGTCTCCAACACTGTTCAACACCGCTAAATAATACCCATCTCATCCAATCAGCAAAGCATTCGTTGCCAACACTGGGTAAGACCGCGCAACATTACAGCCAGTGTGATTCCCACCCCTGAGCCAGACAGGCTCTCTTTCAGCGTCACTAGAAGGACAGGACTGTCATGGACGTGGTTATATAAGTCTTGTTAACCTGCCACCTGAAACTGTGCTGCCTCTGTCGATTTCTAGGTGTTTTAACTTCTTTTAGTGTTAGAGCGTTATTTGTTAATGTACGACAAAAAATTTATATAAGAGTCATGGAACTTGTGGGAGAATAGAATTAATACGTGTGGTCTGTGCCAGAATTCGGATCACCGTCTCCAGCATCCTGTGTCACCAATGTGGGAAGTGGCTGGAGGTAACTGTCAATTCAGGAGTCTCCTGGCCTAACTTTTTCAAATCCCTGCAACACGTGGGAGCTTCGTTACACCGACAGTCACCCCTTCTTCCTCTCCCTCCTCGAGCAGCGGCCCTTCCACCTGGGGATGACCGGGTCCCCTAGTCAGCGCCCATCCCGCCTCCTGGCTCCTCTCTGCTGCCGCTTCCTTCACCGCCATCTACACTTGCATTCCCCAAACACACTCAAGTTTCTTCTTTTAGAGGTGAAAAATGCCCCAGATCCTTGGACCCATCTCCCCTTTCATCTACTACTACTTTTCTCTCTTATTTTTCTCTCTGCTTCATCAAAGACTGGTATCTAACTGCGGGTCCAGCTCATCGCTGCTTCTCATCTTCAACCCTCGGGGATCTGACTTCACCCCAGAGCCGTTGTAATGATGCCTGATCAGAATATACCAATGCATTCTGTTCAGCAAAATGTTTGGGCAGTTTTCAGTCTGTACTTTCTCTGACTCCTCTGCAGCACGTGTCAGTGTCAACACCATTTCCCATCTCTCTCTTTGCCTCTGACCATTTCTTATCAGGTCCTTTTGTGGTTTAACTTTCTCTGTTCACCTCCAATAAACCGATCACAGCACTACCTGTCCTGTGCAGGCAGTGCTAGACCTAAACTCTCTAGCTACGCTAGGCGACAGTGATCTAAACTGTAAACAGGAAGAAGCATTAAAAAAAATACCATCCACCCAGTTAATCAGATATATTCAAGATTAAATTCAGAGAATAAATATTTAAAAGTGTGATTCCCCTGGCTACAAATCCAATATAAATTAATGATGGTAGAAAATTTTTATCTATAAATGGTTTCCATTTTAAAAGTACTTTATGATGCTATTAGAACTCCTACTTAAAAAGAAGAAAGGAAAAACACTTATTTAATTAAAATGAGATACCAATAACTGTACTATAAACTGCCACAGACAAACCTCTCCTCCAATACCACCAACGAAAAAATCACTGAGACTGGAAGTCAAAGTGCCTAGAAATTAATGTGAAAATACAGTAAAAAAACATATACACTCACACATAATTTTAAAACTTAACTCCTGGAAATACTGCTACAATAGGTAAAAGAGAAGAGGGGAAACATTACAAACGTCTTGACACGGTCTTGCATCTGTTACCCATTCACCCTCCCTGGCGGGACAACTCACCTCGACAGGAATGGGGTCCATCCCTCCGCAGTTCTCGTTGCATTTGTCATACACCAGTCTCAGCTTCCTGAAGAGGATGGAGAGCTGGCGCAGGTGGTCCTGCAGCTTGGTCAGCCGGTCTTGGTACGTGCCGGTGTGGTACGTGACACCGTTTGGCAGCTTACCAGGCAAAACAACAAAAATGTTACATGAGTTCAGATTTGCTAAGTAAAGCCCACAGTTTTTAGGTAGTGCGTAAAAGCTACTATGGCACTTCACAATTAATCAAATTCAATCTTAAGAATGTATGCATAAACATAGACGATTTTATAAATATATAAAGAATTTAAGAGTCACACGTGCCACTTATTAGCAACTTGTATACTGTTTCACAGCTATAAAACAACCCTAAAAATTCTGTAATAAACCTCCTGATAGTTGAAAAACCTTTTTTCCTTTAATTTGCTAAGTATAACTTTTAAAAAGAATGTGTAACCTTAATGTTACTATATGAAAGGAACAAGTTGTTGAGCTGAAGCAGGAAGCTAAAATACAGTTTAAATAAAAGAAGCTTGGAAATTTTTTAGGACAAAAGGAATAGTATACTGTTGGAAAAATATTCCTCAAATACTTTAGCAATAATCAAGACCCTCAAAGCACACATTAAAGTATAAAGACATCACCCAAAGTTTTACTTGAAAAAAAGCCATTAACAGGAAATATAGGTGTACATCAGTCAGTGTTTCAGTATCATTAATAATGATCGTGGCCTAGATATTTGTATATTTTTATTCGGTAATTTTTTAAAAGCCTAAAATATACATTGACATGAGATAAATCACAGGTAAAGGGAAACTGACTATTATTTAGAACTTAAAATTAAACATGACCTGATGGGAACTGCTGCCACTTAGGAATAAAAATCTTCCTTTTCCTGCAACCATTCATAATATTTTATTCCCACATTTCATATATGCAACAGCCTAAAACTCAGTGAAGAGCAGAAAGTTTTGTTTTCTACTCGATGGGTGTTTATATTTATAGTTCCCCTATATATCTACCTTGGCGACTAGAATCAGGTGATTTAGAATCACGCCTCTATCCACTATCTAACAGCTAGAAGATCAGTCCATCCACTCAGTACATTTCAGTTTACTTTTAGAAAAGATGAAGCAAGAATAAAAAAATGCATAATACAATGTCAGGAGAACAGTAACAGGACCTAAAAACTTAAAGACTAGGAGAGTCTACAAAAAGCTGACAAAAATGTATTAGGCACACAGCTTGAGTAGCTCTTTCTCATTTCCAAATTCCCCATTTTAAATATAATGGTTTCTAAATTAAGGCTATCTACTGCATCTACCTGAGATAAAATGTTCCTCAGAAATTCACAGGGATCAATACTTTACGATGCCTCAAATAAACGTGATTGAACACCGAAGTCTCATCTAATAATCAAATATTTCCAGGGAAATGGCACCAAGGTTCACCCAATCACACAGAGTAAGACTTCTCAATTCTCCATTCATGAAGTTTTCCAAGCACCACCTAATGATTCAGTTTATTTATTTATTTTATAGAGAAAAAAGTAAAAATGAGTGAGTTTCAAAACAAGATAGGACAGTAACAATGATTAGAACCCTCCATATTGTTGTCTACATAGTGGCAATTCAGCATACACGATATAGGGATCGGATATTATCCAGACAGCTAACATCATACTAAATGGTCAAAAACTGAAAATCAAGAACTTTCAAAATCAAGAACAAGACAAGGATGTCCACTATCACCACTTCTATTCAATATTGTCCTGGAAACACTAGCCAGAGCAATTAGAAGTTAAATTATCATTATTTGCAGATGACACAATGCTCTACATAGGAGACACCAAAAACTCCACCAAAAGACTTGTAGAAATCTACCAAATTCAGTAGTGTAGCTGGATACAAAGTCAACAGTCAGAAATCAATAGCCTTCCTATATGAAAGAGCCAAACAGAGAGAAATTAGAGAAAGGACACCCTTACCATAGCATTCTTTCTAGAAGAAAGAAATACTTAGGAATCAATCTAACAAAGGAAGTAAAAGATCTACACACTGAAAATTACAGTACTCTGAAAAAGGAAATTGAAGAGGATATCAGAAAATGGAAAGACATTCCCAGCTTATGGATAGGAAAACCAAACACAGTGAAAATGGCCATACTCCCAAAACTGTTACATAGATTTAATGCAATCTAAATCAAAATATCAAATATATATAATTACCATACCTCACAGAAGAGGAAACACTCCTAGAATTCATTTGGAACCCAAAGAGACTTAGAATAGCAAAAGCAATCTTGGGCAACAAAGGTAAGTTAGGGGGCATCACAACCTCTGATCTGAATTATACTACAAGGCTACTGTGATAAAATCAGCGTGGTACTGGCAAAAAAACCAGACCTGAGAATCAGTGGAAAAGATCCTCAGAACAAAAGATGTGGTCCCAACTCCAAACACACTCTGTCACCTTATCTTTGACAAAGTAGCTAAACACGGCCACCAGAAGAAAGACAGTCTCTTCAGTAACTGGTGCTAGAAAAACTGGTTTTCCATGTGATGATTCAGAGTTCATATGGATACTGGCTTTGTTGTTTGGGTGATAATGAGAAAAGAATGCTTATATCTTGTATTAAGAAATACCTGAATTTTTACTATGCCATATGCAATGTTTCATACCTTGTCTTGTTTCCTACTTATTAAAGAGTGAAACTTGTATCACTGTATCTGGTATAGTGTACACACACAGATGTTACAGTGCAGTCTCAGTTATTTGATTCACCAATTTATACTTAAAAATTCAGTGAGACAAATACATCATGTAAAGGAACTCTTGACAAATCCTACGATAAAGGAAAACATAACCCCTTTGAAATGCCAAGAACTGCCCTCTTCAAATTCACCATCTTAATAAGTTTGGATGTTAGTTTTTAATACAGGCTTTTCAAAGAAAGGATTAATTAATTCACTCAAAAGTTACTGCATATCCTCAATGTGTCAGCCCTGTTCCAGAAGCTGGAGCGGCAGTGAGGTAAGAGATGAGGTTCCCACGCTGCACATGGTGACAGCACTCAAGATCCCTTGAGGTCTGGAACTCTCGCTGGATGGTAGAGTGCTTGCCTGCTTGCCGAGCAGGGTAGCACACCCAGCAATGTCACAAACAAAACAAACAAACCCAACAGTGATACACACTGTTCAATGACCAGCTCACCATAACCACCTCACTCCCGTCTATGGGTGAAAGCCATCAATACACCTTCACACCCCCAGTTGCAAAAAAGACACGCAACTGCATTCAACGCTCATGCTTTAAGGCAAGCATGAAACACAACACAAACTCCTCCAAGTGAGAAGATACATTTATCTCAGCTGTAGTCAGCACTAACACGGAAGCAGCAGCAGCTCCACCAAGTTCTGGAACCAAAAGGAAACCTCCCGAGACCGCTAGCTCCTGCTCTAGAAGCACCGATCAAAGGACTGGGAAGAAAGGGGAGGGGTCCAAATAAAGCTGAACCCTACAGGAAGCCGTGCAGTGATCACAGACTGTCACTGAAGTTGGAAGAATTCAGTAAGGAGACGAACACAGAATCAACAAAAAGCACCAGCTTTGCTTTAACCTACAGAAACTAATGGAAACCAAATGCCACTTATGACATCCAGGAACAGATAAAATACCTAGGGATAAACTTTAAGAATCTCAAGACAAAAAACGAAAACTTGATGCCGGGTATGGTGACTCATGTCTGTAACTGAGCACTCAGGAGGCTGAGGCAGGAGGATGGAGGGGAGAGTTCAAGGCCAGCCCTGGGCTATGTAGTGAGTTCAAGGCCAAACCAAGCTACACAGCGAGAACCTATCTCAAAAACCAAACCAAAAAGAGAAAAAGAGAAAGATTACTTACAATACTTCTTAGGGAAATAAAAATAAATAAAAGGGTATTCCATATTCTGACAACATATTAATGATGTCAAGTCTTTTTAGCATGAATGAGCTTAATAAAAACATTGTATTAGAACTAAAGCTCATTTTAAAATACGTTAGCCTGTACAAACACAGAATGAGCTGAATAGCCAGGGAACTTCAAAAAAACATGACACTTGGGCACTGGTATGTAAGGCAGGCAGCTCCACGGAGTACAGTACAAGTGTGTCCAGCCAGCAGCCCACAGGTCACCCGCGGCTGTGGGCAGTTACCACGGTAGCACACACTCCTCACAACACGCCACTTTTGGTGACAGTTTCCATGACCCAGTTGCCCAGTACCCTGCAGCCAGCCATCGGTCAGTTTCTGCTGCCGTCTTCTTTCGTCCTAATAAAAATTATTCAAAAAAGGAAGTTTTGTTGCTTATGTACATTATATATTTTATGTGCAGATGAAGACCATTCCTTGTGACTCACTGTGGCCCAGGCTGGGCAACAACGGGTGGTCAAGCGTGCAGGAGACCATCTGCAATGGCTGGTCATGGTCAGCAGCCTGATTGTCTTGGGGGAACCCCATAAGTAAAGCTCACTCCCGGTGTGTCTGGGTGACTCATGGGGAGTCGACTGTGGGGTATTTGATCCCTCACCCCCTTCCTAGCTCTCCTCCCACTCTCTGCATCCTGGACACCACCCTCTGTGCTGTGATGCTTCTGCCCCGGAGCCAGCGGAGGTTCAACCCTGAACCAAAACCAAGCCTTCTTCCTTCCCGGTCTTGCCTGGAGGGACCTGGTCACAGCAATGGGAAGCTGAGTGGCACAGCACCCCTGGACGGGTTCCTTTCTGTAAAGTAACATCTGATTCAGTGAAGAGGGGACATGACCTTCTGGAAGAGTAAGGCAGGGACGTCCCTCACCATGAAAGTCACAAAATTCTTCTGAGTTTTCAGTGGGGAAGACTTTATCTGACATAAAATCTAGGAGCTCCGAAAGACTGTCGCTGGAGAACTGGTGTAATAAAGCACAGTCCTGCCATGCAGTGGAACACTACACACTATAAAAAGGGAAACACTTTCTGTGTGAATATGCAGTAAGCTCCAAAAGATATCAAACAAAAAAAGCAAAGCACAAAATGATGTAATATGCTACTATGTGTGCAATGGGGAAAATTTTTAAAATGCACATCAAATATATGGATGGATACACCAAAACACTGCTAAGAATCCTTAACAACCATCACCTACAGGGAAAATCAAAGCTCACTCACGCTAGAAAGACTTGACATCATTAATATATTGTCTTACTAACCAAGAACATGGAATACTGTTTTATTTTTTTTTATTTCCCTAAGAAGTAAGTATTGTAAGCAGTCTTTCTCTTTTTCGGTTTGGTTTTTTGAGATACCTGCTGCACAGAAATGGGAAAGGGATGTTCACAGTAATGTCCTGTTTTTTCCTCAATTGTGAACACATTACATATTCTGCAAAGGGATTTAAAGGCTAATAAACTGAACCAAAGCAACGGTATTTTTCACAGGGAATCTTAAGCAGTGTGGTTTTCTGCAGGAATCTTAATATGGAGACTTAGAGAAACACATTCTTTAGCTCCCTGAAATTTTTTTCAAAACATGCTTATATATTTTTCCCAGAAATGAGCCCACACTTTCTATCAGACTTCTAAGCAGCTAAAGGACACCTAATATATAATTATTTCCTTAAATCATAAGCTTAGAAATTTTAGCAGTTTATACTGATGTTGTTTTACCTTTTTGGGTCAAATACTACAGAGGAAGATTTTAAATCTGAATACTTATTAAAATATACAGTAGTCCCTTCTTCTCAGAGAGGGCTATGTTCTAAAATCCCGAGGATGCCTGAAACCTGGACAGTACCAAACCTTGTTACTACATTTTTTTCTTGCACACACAGACTTATGAAACCATTTAATTTACAAACTAGGCATAATAAGAGATTAACAATAACTAATATAGTGATTATATTATCAATAATTAATATGATTATATTATCATAGTATACACTCATAAAAGGTAAATGTGGTCTATCAAAATATCCATTTGGACCACAGTTGACTAAACTGTACAAGAAGATTGTGCATAAGCTATCTGCCACCACATGAAGCGTTTTTAGGATCATCAAAGTGGCATAACCTCTTCCTCAAGCTTCTGGGAAGAGACGGACACACAGTGGCTGCCTTTTCAGCCAACTATGATGTGCCTCAAAGGGTCTCAGATGAGCCAGACCCCAGAACCACTAAGCAAAAGGCACACAAATAACTATCCCGTCCCTCACAAATTTACCTATGGAGGTCCACATGGAATCTAGTCACTGACACTACTGTTCTGTATATAGGTCATAAGCCTGCATTCCTTTCTTTTAATAATGTACATTGTTGCTCTAGTCTAATCTTTTCCAATATACATTTTTAAAGGAATGATGTTCACATGCTGCAGTATTAAGGGAAGGAACCATTCAAATGAGTTGGCTGAATGGTGCTGGAACAATCAGACACCCAACAGCAAAACCATAAATTAGATCTATCACTACCCACCCCTCAAATATACAACTTACGATGAGTTATGCGTTATAAACCTAAATGCAAAAACTAAACATACACAACTTCTGCAAGAAAATATAAGAAAACTTTGTCACTTTGGGTTCTGTAAACCTTTCTTAGGTATGACACCAAGAAAGAGAACAACCAAACAGATTTCCATCAAAATAAAAATGAACTGGGTATGATGGCAGAGCACTGTACTCCCAGCACTCTAGGAGGCTGAGGCAGGAGGACTGCAAGTTCCAGTCCAGCCCAGGCAATTTAGGGACTCAGTTGAGACCCTGCCTCACAAATAAATAAGATGGAAGTGTAGCTCAGTATGGGTTCAATCCTCACTAGGAGAAGGAAAAAAAGGAAGGAAGGAGGAAGGGTGAAAAAGAAGAAGTGAAGAAACAATTTAGAGTCTGTTCCTATATAAAGCTATACAAAGAGAATAAAAAAGCAAGCAAAGCAAAATAAATAAGCATACGATAATAAGTATTGATGAGGCCAAGCGGATACAAGAATCTTTAAAATATTGCTGATGGAAATGAAAACAGTTCAACCACTCTGGAGAAATTTCCTCAATTCCATACAATCCAGCCACTCTGGTCTGTAAGCTCACATTCACAGCAACATTAATAGCCCCAGAGGCGAATGTCCACGGTCCCTAAGGTCCATCGAAGACACGCAGGTTGTGGCACAGTCGCACAATGGAACACTGCTCAGCAAGGATAAGGAATGACCTAGGAAGGCGGCAAAGAAGAAACCATGACCTCCCTGCAAAGGCCTCTGTCCCGCATTCACGTAGAGCTCAGACACTGCAGATCGGCTTAGGACATGGGCCGCCAGGCTTCTCAGGGATGGGGAGACTGATCCTGGGGCAAGAGGAAACTTTCTTGGGTCACAGACATACAGGGTTCACTGCTGAGTGTGGGGCTGCTTTTACGAGTGTATTTATATCTGACAAAACCTGAGGTGGACGTGGTTTATCATACATCAGTTCTGCCAAGAGAAGTGGAGGGCTTTTTAAATATTCTTTTTTTTTTTTTTTCCTCTTTTTTGACACACTATGCAGTTCAGGCTGGCCTCGAACTTCCAATGATCCCCTGACTCCAGAGTGCTGGGATTACAGGCGTGCGCCACCACACCCGCCTTTTTTTCAAAAAGAAAAAAGCAAGATTTTTTAAAAAGAAATTATAGGCAGAGGATGCATTCTTTAGTTGCCTGGGTTTTGCTCCTCTTGGGAGAAATTTTGCTGGGGGGAAAAAATAAACTTTCGAAAAGTTGAAAGAGGGCAGAGGCTCTGAAAGTCAGTTTCCACCATAACCAGAGAAGGCGTGGGAGCTGGAGAAGGGGGCCAAGCGGCGCCCAGGGCACTTCGGGGAGGGCGCTCCGGGTAGGACGGCCGGCGCCCGCGCCGCGCACCTGCATGTTCCGGAGCAGCTGGAAGATCTCCATGGTGCGGTACACGATGTCCTGCACCGTCTCCTGCCCGATGCGGCACAGCGACGCCGTGTTCACCTCGCGGGCGGCCTGCTGCGCCTGCGGCCCGCCGAAGGGCCCGGGCGCCATACCCGACGCCGCCAGCGGAGGGGTGGACATGGCGCGGCCGTCCCAGGCCGGCTGGCGCTGCGGGCCGGCGCGGAACCCCGAGCGCGACACAGCTGAAACCGCCGCTTTCCAAACCGCCCGCGCCACTTCCGCCCAGCGTGACGTGACGTACGCGTCCGTAAACGTCACGAACCGCCCATTCACAGGACCCGAAAAGATGGCTCCGCGGAAAACGTACAAGATTGGGTCAGATTCACGGATGGGGCGGGACGGACAGGTAGACAGCCAATCACGTGCAGCGCTGTGCTCAGGAGGGGTGGTTCTAGGGGCGGGACGAGAAGGCGGTCCCAAAATTATCCTCTGTCTTACCCCACGCTCTGGTTCCGTACAGTTTTCTTTGCTGAACATTTTCAAATGAGAACCAGCTAGTGAGATTTGTACTGTTACTCTCCTTTTACAGCCACCGAGAGCAGCAGTCTCAGAGGAGCAAAGCGCTTAAGTTGCATGGTTGTACTGGCGACCTGAGATTTGAACCCAGAACAGGAGTCCCTGTTCCTGGCTGCTTCTCTGTGACTTCCTAACCAATTCCTGCCATTGCTTGCTGCCGTGCTCCAGTGCTTGCTCCGTCTAAGTAACTGCGCACACATGCACACACATGCACACACCTTCCTTTCTGATATTGCAGTAATTTCTACTAACAGTGAGGGGATGCGTTCCAAGACCACCTGTGGATGCTGGAAACTGCAGAAAGCATGCAACCTCGCATACTGTGCAGGGTCACCCTTTACAGCGCATGCTTGTGTTAAATTTAATGTATGGGTCCAGCATGGTAAGAGATTAATAGCAATAATTAATGATAGTAACAGTACTCTAATCGAAATTACTTAAATCTTCAGAATTGCTTATTTCTGGAATTTTTCATTTAGTATTTTTGGACCATCGTTGACTGAGTAAAGGGAAATTCCCAGCAAATGAAATTTCAAAAAAGGGGAGAGAGAACTGTACTATCCGATATTCTACATCATTTTGATTTGTCTACTTTGGGACTTCCTCTCTCACTGTACACACGCACTAAAATGCAAATTCAGTAAAAACAAAGACTATTTTTATTCATTTAAGTACGGTCAACATGTACTGGTGGGACTGACGAAGGGACTCAAAGAGTTCTCAAATGAGTGTTGCCTGATTGATGAATGACATTAAAAATGCAACACTGAGTTTTCTCATCACCTCTGATTCCCTCTATTTCCAAATGGGAAACCTCCATTTCCAAAAAGAGAAAATCAAGAAGGTGGAAATTCATAATATGCCCGAATTTACCGCTTCTAACGTTGTACGTTGAACGTTCTATTAGCCTAGACTTTCCAGGAAATGATTACTAAAAATGACATAGAAACCATTGTAAAGGTTTCAAAATATTTGCAGTTTTTAAGCAATTATCAGTAGACAAATATTTACTGACAACCTACTGTGTGCGGAGTACTAGAAATGCAGAGAGAATGGTTAACAAGCTAGGTAAAACTCTGCTCTCAGAGACAGATGGGCAAGATGCTAATTATTATGATGAGTATCTTGAAGCAAAAGTTCAAAGTCTTAATACCCTGATTTAGGAGCTTGGGAATAACATAAAGGGAATGAATTGAATTCTACAGGTAAATAGAAAAAGGTACTGGACATTGGAGCCTAGAGTCTTTCTTTTGAACCAGTTGGGGCCCAGGAAATAAGGAAATTTCTCAATATTTGAAGGGTCTTGAAGTGTAGTGTGAGGACACTGTAAAGAAATAAACATGCAAGCAGATTAAGCCTTGCAGAATCTTCTGAGTCTTGTCAAGCAGTTTGGGCCTAGTTCTGAGGTAAATCCAAGCCACTGGAAAGCTTAAAGGAGAGAGGCATAATTACCTGAAATATTCAATTTAGAAGCTGACTTCTGGGTGCTAAATGGCTGTGTACTCTTCCTCCCTTTTTTTGCAAAAGGAGCTGATAATGATGATGATCTGAATTAGGAAAATGGCGCAGTAAGTGACTTTGAATTCAGTAAGTAGAATCCAGGGAATTTGGTGTTGATGGATTGGACAGGAAGGAATCGAGGATGTTATATATCTCTGCCTTGAATAAATGGGTGAGTTTTATGCCATTTACCAACACACGGCCTGAAAGGAAAAACAAGACTCCTTGTGTTAGTTTCCTATTACTGCTGTTGCCCTGAAATCAGTGGCTGAAAACAACATAAATTTCTTTTTGATTTCTAAATTGATTTATTAGACTTTTGTAGCTCAGAAATCTGACAGGGGTCTCACTGAGCTAAACTCAAGGCATGGGCAGGGCTTCGTACTTTTTTGGAGGTTATTGAAAAGAATCTATTTTCTTACCTTTCCGTGTTCCTAGTGCCTGGCTCATGGCCTGTGTAGCAGCTGAGACCCAGCTTTCACCGTCTCAAAGGCCAACACTGGCCAGAATTTTTCTGTAATGCCTTTTCTCTGATTCTGAGTCCTCCGCCTCCTCCTTCTGTGGATCAGGAGTACATTGGGCCCATTCAGGAGGTCCAAAACATCTCTTTAAGGCCAGCAACTCTGCCCTGTCCATTCCATCTGCTTCCTTAATGTTCTGCAACATAACATACCTACAGGGTCTGGAGATTAGGACGTAAGCATCTTTGACCAGTGATTATTCTACAGACCATGAATCTACATTCCAGACTGTCCTTAAAATCAGACCCCTGCACCTTCCATGAGGCAGGTGAAGGACAGATGTCTGATACTTAACATGTCCCAAATCACAGCTTTGACTCCCTAACCTGCTGAACTTTCTCCGTCTCACTAAGTGGCCTGAGTGTGTTTAGCTGCTTATCCTGGTATCTCCCTTTCCTACCCCAATTCCAAGCCCTTAGAAAATGCAGTGCTGTCTAAATTTCAAACACACCCTGTGGATGACTGCTCCTCCCTCCTCCACCTCTTCTGCAGCAGTCCAAACGGTCTTGTATTTGGCTGGACTGGTGGAAAACAATTTAAAACTCCTCTCCTAACTGGAATCTCTTCTCATCCTTGTACCTCATTAAATCTACTCTTAAAACAACACTCACAGGAAAGCTTTCAAAAGTAAATTGAACTGTGACTCTACTCTGATGTCTTAGTTTGATTTCCTATTTATAAGAAAGAAAATGAAATTTCACTTTATTTCTTATAACTCAAGAGTTCAGGAAGTGTTGAAGACCAAGCGACTACATCTATTGAGGGCCTTCTTGTTCTTGTAGAATCATCTAGAATGTGGCATAGGATGTTGCATGGAAAAACAGAGTATGTACCAGATAGAGTTCAGTTTTAGAACAAGAAACTCCTCTAAAATCCATCAGTACATTAATTTATTAATCAAGGAATGGAACTATCCATTCAGGAGTGTAGAATCCTCAAAACCCAGTCATTTCTTAAAGGTCTCATCTGGTCCCATTGTTTTATGTCTCACAGTGGACATTAAATTTCAACATGAACATTGTGGAGACAAGCAAACCATGGCATCTGTGCAAGTGTCTTCCCATCACGTTCAGAGCAGAGGACAGACCTGTGTATCTCCGGTGTGCTGGTGCTGGCCTCTCTCAGCATCTCAGCTCGGCTGCTCTTCCCTGACTGGCCACACTGGCCTTCTCCCTGTTCCTTGCCTTTTGACCTAGGATGTCTCTCGGCTCTGCTTAAAGTGGTCCACCCTGGATACTACAGTTTAGCCTGTTTTCTGTTATTTGTAGAACAAGTTATCAGAATTCAGTGGCTTAAAGAAACAGAAAGGTATTCGCTTTTGCAGATCAGATGCCCACAATAGTTCTTAACTAGGCTGTGTTGATCTCTACGGGCTCTACAAGGAAATCAAATTTCTGTTCATTTGTGTCCTTGGCAGAATTTGGTACCCTGTTACTGTACGGCTGATGCGCTCATTTTCTCACTTGTAACTGCAAGCCTCTGTGAGCATCCACAAGATGCCACATTCTTGGCTTGTGGCTCCTTCCCCCACTTCCAAACAGAACCATAGTGGTTGAGTGTGTTTCCTGTTTTAAATTTTTCCTGCCATTTCTTCCATTGTCATTGTTACAGATCTCTGAGCTTTGACATTTAAGGGCCCATGTGGTAATCCCCGGCTCAGCCACAATGTCCTGGACAATTTTTCCATCTCAAGGTCTCTAACCTCTATCATACTGCAAAATCTTCTTTTCCATGAAACACAACGCAGACACAGCTTGTGGGATTAGCTGTTGACATCTAGATGCCTGTGTGGATGTCAAACTGGCTAAGGGATGGGTGGAGCACATTTCAGGTGTCAGGATGGATCATGAAGGCATGGCCTTGGGTTCTACATCTTGTCTCTGGTCTCTACCTCTCTCACAGTATTTCGATGCTCTTTTTCCTGGCCACCATGAACTAAGCAGTTTTGTCCCACTCCACCCTTCTGCCATGATTTTCCGGCCTTGGAGACCTCTTACCAGAGACTGAGTCCCCTGAAATCATGAGCCAAATTAAAACTCTCCTTTAGGTGAGGGTCAGGTATAGCATTCTCAGTGATGAGTTCTGTTCCATCTCTCCACCCACTGACCCTGCTTTATTTTCCTTCATTGTTTTGATTGGTACCCTTTGGCTTACTGTTTCTCTTCCCAAATGGACAATACCTTTCATGAGATCAGGATCTCTCTTTACATTAGCCAGTATATTGATCACCGACAACAGACCTTATCACATGGTAAATGCTCAATAAACAATAAAAGTTCTTTAGTTGATAGTGTCTTAAGTTTAAAATGCTTGCAAGATAAATAAGAAGGGCCATCCAGTAAGGAAGGAATTGAGTTATAGGCATAGACTTTTTTGGCAAAGAGAAGGGGAAGATGGAATATAAGCTCAATAACTGTAAAGTCAGACCTTGTGGACTGAGATCTAAAACTGGTACCATCCAACGAGTCGTGCGAACCTCCATGAAAAACATAGGACTAACAAAGACACAAAACTTTGGGGATGCTGATAGGATTAAGTGAGATGCTGTGCAGAAACTGTTCTTAACTCCTAGCAAAAAAGTATTCAGTAAATTTACCCTACATTTCTTCCCGCCATGTGTAACAGCAAGAATAATGCATGAGTCAGGTGAGAATGAAGAAGTGCTCGTAGAACAGAGGCAAAAAGAATAC